GAAGACATCTTTGAGAGCAATTCCAGACTTCACTCAACCTCTGATCTTCCAACCATGTGAGACAAGCTGTCCTTAAATTGTTTGTCCTGGCTTCCCTGTTGGCTCAGCCGGTAAAAATCTGCCTGCAATGCAGGAGACCTGGGTTCAGTCCCTGGGTTGGGAAGATCCCCTGGAGAAGGGGATGACAACCTTACTCCAGTATTCTTGCCTGGGAAATCCCATGGACAGAGGAGCCTGGCGGGCTACAGTCCATTTGGTCGCAAAGAGTCGGACACAACTGAATGACTAACACATACTATTGTTTAAGCCCATCTTAGTTAGATAAGCTGTTCTGTTAAGTGTAACTGAAAGCATCCTCATTCATCCAGGCTGACTCCCTAGTAGGAAGTTACTCTGTTCGGTAAATCAGAAATGCCTAATATGCTAGGAAGCAAAGAGTTTCTAGGCAGGCAGTGCAACTTGTTGAAAACACTGGAGGAAGAGAATTTAGTTACAGGTTGAGAGAAAACTGTTGACAAGACAGGGGGGATCCTCCTGAAGAGCTTTCAAGTAGATTGAAAATTCATTAGGTCCTGGGAACCCACATTAAGACGTTGCAGAGATATGCACATGGGGCCAGATGACTAAAGCACAGGCCCTGTGGGGAAGGAGATGCTTGGATAATGGTGGTTAGGAGAATCCTCAGCGTCTGGAATCCTGATGGAATCAGCAGTCTTCTGACTGGAATGTGTTCTGTCCTGAAACATGTTTCCAAGGAATTTAAAGAACCTGTCCTTCGATTTCACGCTCTGTTCTATACCAGTGTCCCCTTACATCTCTGGCCACTCTCAGCCAGGCTTACTTTGCCCTTTTACTGACTGCTTGGAAATCTCTCCCTAGTTTGTCTTCTGAACTGACAGACTATGAAAATTTGCCATAAGCACATGAAATTTAACATGCCTAAACCAAACACATTGTACCCACCTCTTCAAGTCTTTATTCTCTCTCTATTCAAACCTGAGCTTGTTTTACCAGCCTACCATGTAGCACTCTACTTAGACATCCCTTCCTCCAGGAAGACTTCCTATTTAGTACCTCTGAGCATGTCCTACCTTTCTCTACTTACCATATTAAACTTCCTACTTCTGTCTTCTCAAGATCTTGCTGTACTGCCTTATGCACAGCCCCTGGCACATTATAATTAAATAATAAATGAATAGTAATACATTCTTTAAGCCCAGGGCCTTATATATCTGAATGACTATATTCTTCTGAATGCAAGAAATGTATTCACTTGTTTCCCACCTGGAGGCTCTATTCAGAACCAACCAACCTAACAGCAAAAGTTGAGAAGACAATTGCTTGCTTGCTTTTGTTGAGTGGCCACTCGGCACCTATCCTCAGGGGGTCCTCAGTTTTGTCTGCCCCACAGCTCTATCTGGGCCAGATAGGGAAGTGCCAGCTGAGAAGAGCAGTAGGTGATGGGCGGGCACAGGGAACAAGCCAGTTAGTGAGAAGAAAGAAACATCTGAGAGAAAACTGCCAGAATGACTTTACATTATGTTTGCAAAAGTGTTCTAGAAACTTGAGTGCTCTGCTGCACCAAACATAGCTGAGAAGTCAAGAGAACCGGTCTAGTGAGCCCTATGTGACAGCACTTTTACATTTTTTCTTGTTAAAATATTCCCAGCAGTGGTACCCACTGAATCTTCTGTGAAGAGATGGCAACTGGTATATCCCCTAGTAATTTCAGATGTTGTGAAGTAGTCTCAATCCTTTTGTCCACAAACTGGTATCATTTCCTTCAAGGGCTAAAATTAACACTTCTGAGAGATTAACTAAACCCTCTTACCATAGCTAGCATCTTGAACTATATACTTAGAATCTTCATGGTTTGCATTTTTTCCATACTGCATTGCCATTTGGGGACTGCTTCCGACCCGTTTACCACAGTGACCATACAGGCGGCCGGTGAAGTATCCTCCTTAGAAGCTCAGGTACATTGTTTTCCTCTTACTCTAGAGGATGAAGGGAGGCAGAATGGCAGGGAGTCAAGAATCAGCTCTTGGCATCAGACTTGGGTCAGTAGCCAGTTTTGAGGTCAACACGTTCAGGAGAGCTTTAATGACAGCACCTGAGGGGCAGCTCGAACGTTTGCCAACCCTTTGCTTTTTACAGGACCCTTTTAAGCACATTTACTACTGTGTAAGTGGGGATAACAAGTGCCTGTCTCATGGAGTGATGATAAAAACTATAATGCATATAAAATACCTGTCAGTTTCTGGCACATTAAGTACCTAAAAACATGTCAAAAAATGTTAAGGCATTTTTTTTTGCTACCTTCATAAAACACTCTGAAAATAATGTTCAAGTAGAGACACAGAAACTTTCTTATAATCTTGGGCTTTACCAAGTTGTCTGCCCATAAAATTACCCTTCTTTGGCAGTACTCAGCAAGCTTTTTGCCAAAAGCTGGGTTCTCCATCTTCAAGAATTCTTAGGCACCTGCACTTGTCCAGCATTAAGTCTAAGACACTTGAAACTCAGGAATGAAATAATAAACACAGGCAGCTTTTGACCTTTCCCTCCAAGATACAATACATTAAAGCTACTTTCCTGTTCATCAGTGGAAACTACCCAAACAATAAAAATTTCTATTTGGAGTATGACCAAAGGAGATGGAACTTCAAGGTAAGAGTCATGTGAAAATTTACTGAGCAATCACTTGATGCTTGGTGCTGCTGAGAGCACTTTACATGTATTAACTCATTTATTGCTCTCTACAGGGAAACACTGGAGCCACAGAGATAGAGATAAAGTAGTTCACTCAAGTCATGAAGTAGATAAATGGTAAAGCCAGGATTCAAACCCATTAAAATCTAGGTCACTCTTAACCTCGATTATGATTTACCATCTCTTTTATCAGGCACACCAGGCAAATAAAGCATCCAACTCCAGAAATGAAAAATACCAACTGAACAACCTTAAGTTCTCTCTGCCCAAGTCATTCATCCATTAACGCAGATTCAACAGAAATCTTAAAATTGGTAATGATACATAATAAGGCCTATTAAATTTAGTCATACAATTCTATCACTAGTTGAAAAATTTCTTCCTGCACACACCAATGACTACATACCACAAAAAGAGAAATTCCATGTGTTTAAATTCAGCAAGTTAAAAGTATATACATAATAAAAATTAAAGCCAAAGTCCACAGTACTTAATACACCAAGGAAATAGTATTTCAGTACACACCAAAATGTTTATAAGCAAATTCATTTAAAATTGTGTAGGATCTTTTTCAACACTTGACTGCACAAAAGGTTTATCAAAAGACAAGAGCAGTATTTTAATACACCACGAAGACCAGATATATTTGTATGCCAGTTAAGCAAAAACAAAGGAGTTATTTTCAAGTTGTACCTGTTTCAAATGCTGTTAACTCTCTTTCTGAGGTTCCCTGATTATATTACATATATAAAACAAAATACTTTGCTTTAAGCAAAAACCATACTTCATCTCAACCACACATATGAAAAGCTATTTTAGAGCCATTCCATTCCACAGTCCTTGATACTTTAATTGGACAATAATTGCTTTATAATTTGTATTGGTTTGTGTTGAGATGGCTGGATGGCATCACCGACTTGATGGACACGAGTTTGAATAAACTCCAGGAATTGGTGATGGACAGGGAGGCTTGGCATGCTGCGATTCATGGGGTCGCAGAGTCGGACACGACTGAGCAACTGAAGTGATACATATATCCCAAGTCTATATATATCCCCTCCCTCTTGAGACTCCCTCCCGACCCCACCTGGACCTTGATACTTAATGTTTAAAACATGACAGGAAATGAAGCAAACTGTCTTACCTCTTTAAAACATTTCACCTTCATTCTAACACTCCACACTGTTATTACATAATATTAGCAGATGTTATTAGTACAAATCTGTATAAGTGAACAATATTTTAAAACATCACTGACTACATGATACCTAATTACCTGAAATCATTTCACAAAGCCTACTTTTTCAATTAAAACCTAACAAATACTTAGGTGACTATTTCCTTCTTTACACTTTTCTGAATTTTCAAATATTTTAACAATTATTTGTACAAGTCAGGAAAAAAACAAAGTGTAGTCTTCCACTTACAAGTTCATTTCCCGAAACAAGGGATAAAGTTTTTTTTAATTAAGTTCACAATTAAATTTATGAATGGACTTAAGTTCCACCTTTGTGATATGTGGAAAAATGAGTAGACATTCAGCTATTCAATGAAAAGAAATGACAAATACTAAACACACACACACAAACAAAAAAAACCAACTAATGTAAGGAGTTACAATAAAAATTTTTATTTAAGTTTGGTCAGTACAGGTAAGATATACTGGAGTCACAGAGCAATATGCATTAACAGGATACAACAATTCATAAAAACTGAGTAACTATGCACACAAATTTCTTAAACATTCAATCACCTAAAGAGAAAATGCACAGATGTATGGTGGGAAAAATTGTATCTAACACTGAAACTACTATAGGACTCCTTCAACAAGTCCAACTTTTAGTGATAAAACTACTGTACTGGGCAAACTTGGCAGTCATAAACCCACATCTACTCTGACAAGTCTGAATGGTGCATAAGCATAGTAACAGCATGAGTAAGAATGCCCTCACACAGCACAGGTTCTAGGGTAGACACAGATTCACACAGACATCACTGTGTTATACTTTAAGGAAAGAGTTCCATTTACAACTTCACATTAACTCATATAAAAATAACCTGACCCTACACAAAATGTCCTTTTAGCAACATTCAAAGTAATTAACTGTTACAATTTCCAAAGTGGCAGAGGTATTGAAGCAAAGAAGAAAGGAAAAAAAAACAAAAACAAAAACCACCCACAAAAAAGGCAAATTGTGACAAAAGTATGCATTAATTAACTGGACAGTATCCTCTTCCAAATTAAATGACACTGTATAAAAATTTGCTGGAAATTTTTTTTTTTTTTTTTACAAAACTGAACTCTGTACATTTACACTTGAGTCCAAACCATTCTGAACGTGGCGGGAACCCGCAGTTCGGTTACCTTTCCCACTCACGGTTTTCTCCTCTTGCGGGTCATGATTGGAGTCTGTGTCATTTGAGTGGTGTGTGAGAGAGTTTTCACTGCCCGTGGGAGAGTCTACACTTTCATACCCCGCACTGAGTTGGTTTACGTAACTACTACCTCTGCCAGTTCTCTCCTCCGAGCTGCTGGAGGCCTTATTCCCATTCCCTGGAGAAGAAGGAAAGTCATCTTCGGCTGTGTCCCCCTCCCTGTGAAATCCAGACCCAGACGTCCTCTGCCGGGAGGAACTGCCATTACTTGGTCCGTTGGCCAGACGACTGCAGTCTTTACCTGTGGCCTCTGCCTGTCCTACAGGCTCAGAAGATGTAGTCCTGCTGGTACTCGGGCCTGGGGCTTGAGACTGCTGCTGTTGGTACTGAGCCAACTGCTGGCGCGTCTCCTTCAGTTGTTGCTGAAGAACTAGAATGGTACTCTGCATACCCTCTACTTCTTCGTCAAGTTGAATGATGAAGTCATTCAGTTCTGTGCAAAGGAGAGTCAAACCTACTTTAATATCTCGTACAATATATTTGAAAATACTTCTTAGTGTCTGCACAAAGCTAGGCAGTCAATAAATGTTTTAGTAAACAAATACAATTCTAAAATCACAAAATATTTTAAAATTTTGCTTGGAATTTTAAAATAGCCTTTCAAGAACAAATTTATTTGTGAGAGAAAGCAAAAGCCTGAATATATAAAAGCAACCAAGTTTACAATGATCCAAACTATCTGGCTACATAAAACTGGTTACAGCCCACAAAATCTGTTCCATGTTTGTTTGACCATGGGCCCACAAACCCGGCCCCTTCCTTACTCCTCACCCTCCTAGCCAATGTTCAGCTCCACAGCAGGTGTAGTCCCTGGGGAAGCCCTTGATTCCAACACTCCAAAGAAGCCTATGCTGTCACCAAGGATTATTCCACATTCAAGAACAAAATTCAGAAAAAATAACTCTTGAAACTGATAAAAATACAGATGTCTATACAGTTCTAAAAAGGTCTTGGGGTGGGGGAGCTCCTTCACTACTATACAAAAAGACTCCTATTTACTGTATTTACAAATAGCAAGAGCTAAAAACCATCACTTTGAAGAGGCAGTTGTAAAGATACTGACTACTGACCTTCTTTGCAATTAACTGAAAAGTTGCAATTAAGTTAATCTTTAGAGAAATTGGGTGTTTTTCTTACTAATTTTCTTCACAAAGGAGAAAGAGCATGCATGCAGCTGTACTAGACCAGCATGGTGGCTAACAAGTTCCATTTCTTTGGGCAAATATATATTACATCTCATTCACTAAACAGAATCTCTGTATTTATTTCTTATTTTTGGCATGCCTCGCAGCTTGCAGGAACTTGAGTTACTTGACCAGGGATGGAACCTGGCCCAGGCGCTGAAATCACTTGAGTCCACAACACTGGACCACTAGGGAATTCTTCCACAATTATATATTTTTAGATCCCTGGACATGGCCAAATACTTCCAAGATCTACACTTATAGAAATCGGTTAAGTGAAGATATTAAGCACTGAATATATCCTTTTAAACACTGAATATAAACTTACATAGCTACATAATGCTTTATTAATACAAAAGCCCTTCTGTCTTTCCAAACCCCACCCCTAAAAAAGAACAAAAACTTATGAAATTTGCACAGCAAACAACTGGGGGGGTAGGGGGGAACCACCACTAAACTAAATGGCTTTGTTTGTTGACTTAACTGGAAATATTTCACTTATAATTTCACAGAACCATTGGTAGAGATTAGCATATACAGACTCTAATCTATAATACTCATGCCTGGCAGTATTTTAAAGCCAGTGCAAAGTTAACCAAACTTTTCAAAAGACCCCTTACCATCCTGACTGCTTTTAAGCTCCTCACTATATTTCTTCTGTAAAGCCAACTCTGCTTCAAGTTGTGCAATACGTCCCTGGGACAGCTGCCTTCCAAGCTCTTGATTCTCCTGGATAAGCATTCGACACTTCGCCATTAACTTTTTGCCTGTTTGGCTGCAAAGGAAAGAGCCATTCATCACAAAATGAAGACAAATTCTCGACAACCTTCTTTGTTTGAAATTATTACAGCAACGGATATAACACATACAGAATATAACTCTACGTCACAGCAAGACACCTGCCTACAATTACCATCGGCTTTTCCGAACACATCAATATTGTACATTTCAGTATTTTGCCAATACAGCAGCAAAGATAAAACCTGAAGAAAAGGTACCTAAATGGCTACTTTCTGTTTCTATTACATTATAATTGATTCTGAAATCTACTTTTATCCCAAATTATAATTTTAAATAGAAATAGGCCAGTTATTTGACACACATTTCAAATATATCAGTTATTAATAAAACTCTAAGGTACTTAGGTTCATGGAACAGAAAAGTTCTTGAAAGGGTAATTGCAACACCAACCACAATGTAAACTTCTACCTAATATATAAAATCAGTACCTATAAATACATAAATTAGAGTAAATTCTTGCTAGACCAGTGTTTATAAGGATGCCTCTTAATAGGCAGTTACCACAAGAATGTTTATTGCATTAAGTGAGGCCTGTTCAGTAATGTTTTTAAAAAGCCTCATGACTATTTCTATTTATCCCTCATTTAACTTTATACGATACAATATATATATATTTAAGCTGTCTTAAACTGGGATATAAGTTTTTGAAATTTTAATACTGATATATGGTGAAGATTTTATTCATGTTGAAAAGATTATCCTTAGGACACAAAAATAAGACTGGGGTTATTTAGCATAAATAATGCAAATATGTGAATATCTGCCAAATTAGGACTGTTATACTTTCTACATGCATACATACAGAAATTGCAAAAATCAATCAAGGTTCATCCTCTACATATTACTAATAAGGAGGAGATGCACTGTGAAGTAATGTATTGGGCAAATCAAAGCCCATTAAAAAAAATTTTTAATCAGTAAGATCATTCTGAACTTTATCGTAAGAATATCAAACTCCCTTTTCAAATCTCTTAAGTAACATCACAATTGTATGCTTAAATCAGAACTCTTTAAAAAAGTGATCATTTCTACTGTTAATGCTGACACTAAAGAAAAGCGGTCAAGTTTTACTGAGACACTGTTATTGGGGTTTGTGATGCAAGGTTTCTTTTATCAAAAGCACATGTTTTAACCCAATGTGATTCAAGTAAAAGTTTGTGATGTATTTTCCTTATACAAATCTGAAGTAAAACCTGGTGGTTGGTGGTGGTGGTGTTTAGTCACTAAGCTGTATCTGACTCTTTTGTGACCCCCTGGACTGTAGCCCACCAGGCCCCTCTGTCCATGGGATTTTCCAGGCAAGGGAGCTGGAGTGGGTTGCCATTTCCTTCTTCAGGGCACCTTCCCCACCCAGGGATCGAATCCGCATCTCTTGCACTGGCAGGGGGGGATTCTTCACCACTGAGCCAACAAGGGAGGCCAAATCCGGGGTTACTATTGCACAAAGCAGCCTCACCTGAAAACGAGCTAGCATGTGGGAAGGACTCTCACTAAATGGCACCTTTATTAGCTGACAGCTGTTCGTTGCTATCACAGCTCCAGATTTCCCCTATTTCCTATTAGCATCCTCAGCTTTAGCCTCTACTGAATAAGAGTTTAGAAACCAAACGAGAAATTGAGAAACAGGCACCATCATCAGAGACAGTGGCCTTCCTTCCACTTCACTGCCTATGCTCCCCCAACTCTCTTTTCTTGTGAAAACATCAGTATAAAAAAAAAAAAAAGAAAGAAAACATCAGTGTTTACCAACTAACCTGAGAAATCTTCTATATCAGTTTTTTAAACACAAACAATTGTAAAATCAATAGAGCAATTTGTGACCCAACTTAACCTCATAAAAAGTACCAAATTCTAATGCAAAAATATTCCATTTATGAAGTCAAGCCTTTTAATAAATGCCTGTTCTAAAATAATTCTATCACTTCTAAAATGATTAAAACAAATCTTCACTGAATCTTTTCTTTAAACATTTTGTAATTTTATACCACTTTACTATGTTGTGTAAAATCTGTGTTGTGTTCATTGTATCACAAAAAATGGTAAGAATCTAATTTCAAGAAACTTGGCTCTGGACGAATTTTTTTTAATTAAAAAGTATTCTAACCTATTGCTAAAAATCAAATAAATCACAAAAAAAAGTATAAAATAATTTAAGAGAAGGAATGGACACTGTACACTGCTTTGTTATCAAGGGGAAGGGATGAGGGTATTCTGAAGGTGTACATACAACTATTTATAAATGCAAACTGAAAACTGTCAAGATTCTGCAACATCTCCCTGTAACTATTCTAATATACACTGTCACATGCATGAAATATTTTAACCAATGTGGACAACATAATCCAGGGCATCATTCTCTCTCAAAATTTAAACAATGAAAAAGTAAAAACAACCCACACAACCCATTCTATTTGAATTATTCCAGACAGAGTACTGATTGAGCACTATTTGTTTCAAATTAATGATGTAGTTATACCACCCAATGAACTCTAGCTTATAGTTTACTTTTTACAAAATTCCATTTATAGGTGGTTAAAATAAATTAATACAATGAAAATATACAACCATTAAAAATGGTAAGTAACCTAAATATACCAAAAAATGGAAAAAAAGCCCAAGGATAAAGTGGGCCTGGGGAAAGTCATGCTACAAATCATCTATATGTACATATGCATGTCTGCATTTCTTTAAAACCAATACACATATAATTACTGTATATGCATACAAATTATCTTGATACCCAAGAAATTTAAAAATGGTCACTATTCCTGGGGAATAAAAAGGAGGAGGGGAAGGTCACCCAGGAGTAAAACTTATTTTACACCTCTACTTTTCTTTACACTGTTTCAATCTTATACATGAGCATGTGTTACCTTATTATTTAAACGTTTTTAACATAAGAAGGAAAAAACCCACCTCAACGTGACTGTTACTTAAGTGGCAAAGAAAAATGCTTGGCTACATTTGAGTACATAATACCTTTTATGAATTAATTATCTCTTGACCTACTGAGAATATGTAGCCCATTTCTACTGTGATCTTTAATGGTATAAAATATATACAAAAGCCTTAATTTGGGTACCATAAGCTAATTTCAAACAGACGTAGTTACTTACCCTCCAACCCCCACAAACAGTGAGACTCTTAGAAGCGGATTTCTTGCTGTGAAGTCACACAAACCACTTCTTCAACCCACCCTCTGCCCCACAATCAGTTCCCTCAAGTACAGACATACGAGATACTTACAATTGATTGGAATGATTAAGAGAGAACTTAAGTCACCCTTGTTAAAACTGCACTTAAACGTTGGGACAATCTGGAACATTTTATCTTCCACTCATCTTAGACTCCATTATCACCAAGTGAAAATTCGAATTGGTGACTTATAGAATGATCTGACGAAAAAATTCACCTCCAGGATTGGATGGAAGCATGAAGAAAATAATGCCTCATTTATCTAAATGAGCAAATGAATTTTCTAGAAATGATCACTATACTTTTTTTCAATTCACAAAATGTCTCACTTAGGCCAGCCCACAGTTCCAATATAGTCTGTCCCCAATCTTCTGGCAGGCACCCTGTAAAGCTGTCCCACATTAATTTCTACTGCAATATCCTGGGACAAGGTGTCAAAAAGCAACAAGTGTCAGGTCTCTTTGTTTTTTTATGATACCAGCTGGAAAAAAGTAGGTCTTTAAAAAATGAGACACAGAGCCTTTTCCTTCTCTTTGAAGAGCACAGCAACAATTTTTTTGAATCAATCTGCTCTCCACAGCGCCCCCCAGTCAAAATGTTAAAAGTACAACAAAAACATCATAGTAATCCTTGAACTTAAAAAAAAAAAAAAAAAACAACTATTTCAAGGCACATTTAATTTAATATCAAGAGTGCAATACAAAAGGCCCAAATACAATGAAGGAACACATTCCCCCATTAACACCAACGACAATGCTCTTTCAACATGTGCCTGTTGAATGGAATGGGGATTTAAATTTCACTACTGAAAAAAATAACGCAGTGAGTCTCATCACAGCCAATATCCTTATACAATCTAGTTGTGAAATGAATGTTTATAACGTTTCAAACAGTTTAAAACCTGAAGTTTGACACCACACCTTCATGTTTGTACAGTCCTCAGTAAGATTATCTACAGTATTAGCAACCATTCAAAGAACAAATCATTGAGTAAAACCACATTGATTTAAGGCTCAATCAAGTAATATAGAGCCCCAAACGAAATGGTTAAATAGATGAACTACTTGTACTGACATCTATTATTTGATTCACTCATGACTATTAAGTTGGTTCTTGGCAAATAAACCCTTTAAAGGCAAAATTCACCTCATTTGAGTGTGACCCAGAAGTTCAACAACAATCACGAAGTCCACAGTCTTATTGGCAAAACTGATATACAGTGTCTCTAAGTCACTATGCTCAAGGTTAAGAGCGATGCATATTCCATCTTTACATTTACTGGAATTTTACATGTTCAATTCATGGTTTTAAATCTCTGGGTTTTCATTCCTCCAAACTGTCTGAAGACACAGTGTGCCACAGACTTAAGACTTCTGTTTCTCCCTCTATTTTCTTCAAACAGAAACATTTCTCAAGTGTCTACATGTTCTAGAAGGGGAATTTTTCGGAGGTGGCCACTTCTTCGGAATAGTCCGACGCCATCAGGCCTCTGAAGCAAGGGGAGGGGGAAGAGAAAAAAGCTGAAACACAAGGTTCATCTGATAAGTTTTACATTAACCTTTACAAGCTGGATAGTATAAGAATGTGGCTTTTTGGCTCAAAAAGTCTGAGTCTTGGTGTGGAAACGAGTACGTGGCTGTCCCACCACAGCTTTCTCGCAGTGGGACTGTCAGGGAAGTCTTGACTGGGGAGTATGATTTGTTTACCTATCAGGCGTAAACTTCCAGGCACTCAGTTCATTTTGGGCTTGTTCCAGTTTGTCTTTAGTCTGTTCCAGTTCACTTTTCATTTTTAGGAATAACAAGTTGATCGCTGGGTCCACCATCGTTGATCTCAGTTGGGCAACGCTAGGCTGCTGGACTTGCTTGAGGTACTGGATCTGAGTCTGTGCAAAGCAAAAAAACCCCATTACTACCAAATCAAAGGAAACATACCTAAGAAGATGAGGTAAAATCCCTTTCTGTTCACTGGTTTACTAACTTGCTTACTAAGCCCCTCTCCCTTCTATCTTAAAATCCTCTAAAAAAAAGTACAAATTAAAAACAACTATTTAGGAATTCCCTGGCAATCTAGTGGTTAGGACTCAGTTGCTTTCACTGCCAGGGCTTGATTTCAGTATCTGGTCAGGGAAGTAAGATACCACAAGACTTGCAACAAAAAAACTCCAAAACAAAACCAAAAAACCCACAAAATAGAACACTCACAAAACCATTTAAGGTTATCCATGCAGGAAAAAAGGCCATTTGACGGCATTCCATATTTGGAAATTTTAAATGTAAGGAGAACACATGTTGGCAATCAAAACAGTACCAAAAACCAAAAAAATCCACCGTAGTATTTATTAAATATGCTGATGCCCATCGGGGAAAAAAAAGGCAAAGTTTAAAATATTATTTAAGAGTATAGTGATTTACTCATACAAATCTGTGCTTTTGGGAAACTGTTCCCTAACATTACACCAGGTACAAGATTACAATTTAAGACATATTTGCATTTCTAAAATTAAAAATACACAGTACTTACATATTTACAAGAGCTGGCATTACAACTTTATAAATGGCACCTTAACCCAAAATTAAGCATATATTCACTTTTTTCCCTCCAAGCAGATTTGAATCACAGCATTGTAAAGCTGGAAGGTGACTGACCTGATCCAAACTACTTAGTTTTGAGAGATTAAAGAAGCCAACTGTTCAAGGACACAATTAGTTCAATGCCAGTACTGGAACTAGAATTCTTATTCTCAAGCTTCCTAACTCCCAATCTAAGGCTTTTCCCACCATACCAAATACCTCTACTTATATATGAAACCTTCGATTTCAACTCTGGTTGTACTGTCAGCACAGTTTTAAAATATGATATACAGTAATAAACTATTTAATGCTAATAAAGCATTAAATGCATCACTTTCTTCACACTCCCACTCCATTCTAAACCTTAAATAGGATTAAAAATAACATTTCCTAAACAGCTATTAATGTCTAACATACATTTAGTAAAAGATAAAAATATACTAAGAGAATTAGGCTATACTTAATTACTACTTCACCAAGCAAACAGAACTAATTTTCTTTCTTTTAGCTTAAGGAATTTTAAAAGTTTACAAAATGAACTACCCTCATCTGCTACTATAAGCTTGCGATTTCCTTGTGATTTTTGCTCCTGCTGCCCTTTCTGCAAAACCTCACTGTGTTCTAACTGAAAGATCAGTAAGTGCTTCAGCGGGGATATGCAGAGAACAGCTGTAAAAAAAAATTAGGTTCTACTTGGAAAAAAACCTTAAATCTAGGTTGAGATGACAGAAGGGTGAAGAGGCAGCACCAAAGGCTTAGATTAGGAATAAACTAATCGAAACTGCCAGTGTATATGGGATGGCTGTAGAATCGCTGAGGTGAGTCAACAGCACATACTGTCTAGGTAAGTGGTTAAGAAGTACCTGGACCAGGATGTCAAGAGTAGGGAGGACTCAAGAGACAGAAATCAAGACACACTGGTTCTGTGAGACACTGCCATCAGCACCATCCACTCACACTCCTACCAGGTGCCCGCATTTGGAAGGTAAGATCCATCCTCTGCATGTGTTAGCAACTAGCAACAGGGAAACCTAAAACTATTAGTGAATAAAGGGTTGAACCTAGAATCCTAAATATCACAAAAAGAAAGAATTAACCGGTTTTGGGACTCAGCACTTGAGTAGTACTACTCATGCCATTAGATATGAAAATCCCAAGAGGAAAAAAATTGGAGGGGTGTTACAAAAAAACAAAACAAAACCCCTTATACTGAGAATGTTAAGATTTCTTTGAACCAAGTACCCAAGTTAAAAAAAAATCAAAAGAGGGAACGCCAAAAACCAAATTTGGGGAAAGTGAAGACATAAGAGTGATGAGAAAGATGATTTTCTTAATACAATGACCTTACAGAAAAAATGTAGAGGCAGTGAAGATGGAAAGTAACTGAGAAACAAAAGGAGCGCTGAGAGATAGAGACAATAAAAGAGGCTACTCTCTTCTTTAAGAAAGTAACAGGTAAAGAAGTCATTTTGAAAAAGTGAAGAAAGAGGGACTGAAGACTTGTACAAACGTGGACAATGTCTACACAGGAAGAATAAAGACTGTGATTAAGTCCTAAAGAACATTTTATTGGTAACGAGGACGAAAAGAAATATAAGTGTGCCCCACAGATTATTAACTTCCAATGACCAGTATACTGTCTTATGCATTAGATTTTAATAACTATCTATCAAATGGAGATTACACAGAAAATTCAAGAAAACTGCAGCTTTTAGGATTAGAAACAATAGGGAATTCCTTTGTGGCAGAGAGGTTAGGACTCAACATTTTCATGGCAGGGGCCTGGGTTCAGTCCCTGGTTGAAAGTCAAAGTCGCTCAGTTGTATCTGACTCTTTGTGATCCCATGGACTATACACTCCATGTAATTCTCCAGGCCAGAATACTGGAGTGGGTAGCCTTTCCCTTCTCCAGGGGATCTCCCCAACCCAGGGATCGAACCCAGGTCTCCCACATTGCAAGCGGATTCTTTACCAGCTGAGACACAAGGGAAGCCCAAGAATACTGGAGTGGGTAGCCTATCCCTTCTCCAGCGGATCTTCCTGACCCAGGAATCAAACTGGGTCACTGCACTGCAACTGAGCTATCAGGGAAGTCTGATTCCATAAGCTGAGTGGCATGGCCAGAAAATGAAAAAAAACAAAAGTAATAAAAAACAACAGGGACAGAGCTGCCTCTATCTTATGTAACTTACACACACAAACACTAAAACCAGGGCTAACGCTGTTGAAGACAAAACTGAGTCTAAATCAACCAGGGTTAAAGGAGCAAATAAGTCACTAGATTTCAGATATATGCAGACATGGCAAAGAGTACAAATGAAAGGTGTTAACAATTAAAAGGAGACACAGTAAAAATTGATAATTAGTTTTCTGTAGAAAAAGGTAAAGACAATGAAGGAGAAATTAATGAGAAAGCTTGCCAAGTAAAATGAGTAAACAGTGCTTATACCCTCAGGTATTATATTACTTAAAAATATCTGAACCAATATACTAATTCTCATAAATTATGGAGATTTCAGAGAATAACTTAAACTTCTGACTTCTTGGCCACAAAAAATTACTTTAAATCAATGATGCGAAGTTATCTATCAGAATTTTACATTTAAAACATTATCTACCTTAACAAAATGTGCATGTATAATTAGTATTAAACACTTACAGTACACTCTTGCATCTCTTGCTCCTTGGTTGCTAGTCGCATTACAAGAATGTTTTCCCTGCGTGCAGATTCTTGCTGCTGTTGCTTCAGTTTTTCTTCAGATTCCCTTAAGCCAGTTACATCATTAGCTGATGATTAAAAGGAAAAAAATCCCAAAACATCATGAAACATAATTTAAAGATCAAACTGAATTAACCAAATCAAAGTTCTGACTCCCTTTGTCAAGGATAATAAAAACCACGGTAAAAAAAAACGGTAAAAAAAATTCAGATCTTTAGTTTCTATCCTAAACTAAACTTTTATGACAACAAACTTCATTCCTGATCATGAGTGCTTTTTCAAGAGTTAGTGGTTTTAAACTGGTCCACAACCACTTAATGCTAGATGAACTATGCTGTTATAGTCTAATCTGTTCCCAAAAGAGACAGGAAATTCCATTATTTGCATTTGTTTATACTACAGAGTATTCACAAAGTCCTGATTAGTATTGTTAAACCTAATCAATATAAACATGCCCATAAATGCACAGCTAATTATTACTTTAAGCTTTCATAGGGGTTTCCCTGGTGGCTCACTGGTAAAGAATCCACCTGCCAAGGCAGGAGATGTGGGTTCGATCCCTGGGTTAGGAAGACCTCCTGGAGTAGGAAATGGCAACCCACTTCAGTATTCTTGCCTGGGAAATCCCACTGACAGGAGCAGCCGGGAGGGCTACAGTTCATGGGGTCGCAAAAGAATCAGACATGATTCAGCCATTAAACAACACTACTCACAACTTCTATGGATTATACCATAATTATACAATAACTGAGATCTTAAAATATTCATCTTTCTGAACTTGGAAAACTTTTACACTCGCAAATAATGTTACTCTAAAACTCAGTGAAAAGTGACAAAGACTAAAATAGTCTAAAATTATAAACTTTATTATTTTCAGTAATTTTTGAAAAACCCATAAATACACAGATATATCCTACTGTTAGAATTTAAGCTATCATAAATTTAATACCGGCTGCTTCTACATTTTCCCTGCTAGAGTAATACTCATGCTTCGCTTCAAATTTTTCTGTGGAAGGACTACATCAAGGAAAGTGTCAAGTAGTTGTGAATTTCCCTATCCGTGCACTCTCAGAACATTGTAGTTCAGTTTGAAGTCATGCTACTGTTAAGATTACAGTATGTCAGTCTTCTCCAATGACTATAAACTCTTCAAGAAGAGCGATCTTGTCTCCTTCATCTTTCTACTTCCTAGCACCAAACACAGTGCCTGGACACAGGTCCTTAATATAATTCTTAAGTAAAAATTACTTAGTAAAACCAACTATCCTGTGCTTATAACAACAATCTAAAAGGAAATATTCACACAGTCCTCAGGAAACTAAAACTCAAACTTACAGTTGAGATCTGTGTACTTGCCCTCCAAAGCTTGAACATATGCTTCATACTGTTTCCACCTAATACAAAAATAAAGCCACATTAGCTATGTTTAAACTGCTTTTACTAAATATACTAGAAAATCACATCCATTAACTTTAAAAACTAAGAATTCCACTGTGTGGATTTTAATGTCTCTCCCATTTTAACAGGGGCTTCCCAGGTGGCACCAGTGTAAAGAATCCGCCTGTCAATGTAGGAGACACAAGAGACTCCAGTTCAATCCCTGGGTCAGGAAGATCCCCTGCTGTGGGAAATGGCAACCTGCTTCAGTATTTTTGCCTGGAAAATCTCATGGAGAGAGAAGCCTGGCAGACTACAGTCCATGGGGCTGCAAAGAGTCAGACATGAATGAGTGCACATGCACACACTCCTATTTTAAGATAATTATAAATTCAGTTTAACCCATAATAAACCATAATAAATTACTTTAAAATTATTCCTTCTTCAACTTATAGGCATTGGATAAATGGAAATACAGAGAAAAGTGTTCTCTGCTGAGAATATAACAAGAGGTGTTCCCATGAGTCAGATCACACACCATACAGGACAGTGTATCAGTGGTGTTCAGCATGATGCCTGGACTATAAAAGGTGACTGAAAAACTTACCACCACTTTTCAGATACGTTGTCCATCTCAAACAAAAGGCATTTTAAGATGTGCCTAATTATAAGGGACTGAAGGTGATCTCGGCTCTTATGTGAAAGTAGCATGTGATTTCTCTCAAAGTAATAAAAAAGGAGGTCTGTCCTTTTTTGTACAGTATAAAAAACAGAACATACTGTTTTTCAAAAGCATATCTGATTAGCAGAAACAACTTGCAAATAAATGCCACATGCTACCTGGATCTTTCTTCATTACATTTCTCAACCCTCAATATACAGGCTTTAGGACTTCCTTGGTGGCACAGTGGGTAAGAATCTGCCTACCAATGCAGGGGACATGAGTTTGATCCCTGATCCATGAAGATCCCACCACCTCGGAGCAACGAAGCCCATGGGCCGCAACTACTGAGCTCATGCGCTAGAACCCGCATGCTGCATCGCCTAGAACCTCGCTCCACAATGAGAAGACACCGCAATGAGAAGCCTGTGCACCAAAACTGGAGGAGCCCGAGCTCTCCTCAACTAGAGAAAGCCAGCATGAGGCAACAAAGACCCAGTGCAGCCACTAAAATAAAAACAAAACCCTCAGGGCTTCCCAGGTGGCTCAGAGGCAAAGAATCCACCTGCAAATGCAGGACTTGCAAGTTCAATCCCTGGGTCAGGAAGATCTTAAGATCTTCTGGAGAAGGAAATGGCAACCCATCCAATATTCTTGCTAGGATAATCCCATGGACAGAGGAGCCTGGCGGACTACAGTCTATGGGGTCGGATACGACTGAGCACACTTGCGCGCACACACATACACACACTAGTTGCTCTAGGCAACTACTGCAGATAACAAACTTTCCCCAGTTTTATGTTTAAGCAACTGCTCCAGACAGTAAGCTGTCTGCTACCCTGCTTACTGAAGAAATGTTTTCAAGCTGCTCTACAGTTACACCTAATCAAAATTTAGATTTTAGAATATATTTTTATAATCTTTAAAATCTTTGACAAGTTATGAGATTTATAAACATTATAATGAACAAAAATATTCTGTAATATCAAGCTAATCCACTCTGTATAAAGACAAAGCCAAGGGCATGTTTATTTTTATGGCCTCTACAACAAAGTTCACAAAGAAGAGTTCATTCAACATTTCAGGATGAATAAAGATGTTTTATGGAGGTTAAAGTAAGATTTTAGAAGAAAAGACAAATATAAAAGCTCAACTACAAACATCCTTATCAAGAAGATAGGGGAAAAAACCTACTTAAAAGTCATAACCATACCAGAGACAGAAAAAGAACATCAACACATGAGTAGTGTATCACGAGCATCTACATCAGCAAAAAACAGCAAGAGTAATTTAAAATACTAAGTATTTAAATTTTATGTGCAGGAATATAAAGGTATGCAATAGGAAAACTATCCTATGCATGAGACGATGGCAAAGAAAGATAAAGAGCATGTCCACAATAGAGGAGCTAAGTAGAAAGGGTAGCAGACTCTTAAACAATGGAGCATGTCATCTATGTCTACCCATTTTGCATGCTTGTGTGCTTAGTCACTAAGTTGTGTCTGACTCTTTGCAACCCCACAGACTGCAGGCTGCCAGGCTCCTCTGTCCATGGGATTTCCTAGGAAAAAATACTAGAGTAGGTTGCCATTTCCTCCTCCAGGGGATGTTCCCGACCTGGGGATCAAACCCGTACCTCCCACACTGGCAGGCAGATTTTTTACCACTGAGCCCAAACCACCTTCACTCTCCCCCAACTTCCAACCTGTTAAATTTACTCAGTTCAGCAAGTAAAAATTCCCTGAAATTTCTAGAGGAAAAAGTTCAATAAACTTGCAGGCTGCCCTAAAAAGCATTAACTTCATTTTTATCTAAAAGTTATTTCATAAAAAACTTATGACAGTGATAAAATGCAGAAAGAATACATTTAAGTTATAAAACACAAAACATGCGTGATCCCGTTTTATGATTTCTTACATTTAAGAAATGAGTAATACAATGCTGTACTTGACTGTCTGCTTTAGTAAGACATTTATAAGACAACCATAGAAATTTGGAGCTGGATGTCATCTTTAAAAGTAATTTAATCCAACTCCTTAAACTTGCAGATAAGAAAATGAAGGATATAATGGTGACTAAAGTCACAGTCACAAGACCGATTAACTTCGCTTCGTCAGTAAATAATGCATTTCTTTCATGAGAAGAATATCCTTGAAGACTACAACTTTTCCACATGTTATATGGGAAAGGGAAAAAAAAAAAACCCAACAACATCAAGTCTATTCATTTGTTAAACTGAAAGCTTCCTGAGTAGTGTCTTTCCCCATACCAAGTTATATACATGAAGTACAAATGCTTCTCCAGTTAGAGTTCTGAATATGTGCCCTCTACAAGAAAAAAAATTCAGGTTACCTGTCAGTCTAGAAGTTACCCAAGCTAGTGCTTTAGTTCTTTAAAGTGTTATGCTTTCCCCAATGTTTATACAGTGAAGAAACAGGCCATAGAAAAAAAGTATTAAATGATGTGAAGATGTGTTAACATTAAAAACAAAAGAGTATCTGGTATAAACACTATACTATAAAATCACAACGTAATGTTCTATAGAAAGATTTTTATATTTTTGATAAAAGAATATTTTACCTTAGAATTAATTCATCTCGTGCCATAACTTTGAAGTCTGTTTCACTCAGTCGAACCTATGAAGAAAATTAAGATATAAACCAAGTGCTCTTTCTAAAAGTTTTAAAACAATAAAAAAAAAAATAGTGGCAATACCAAATATGGAGTGAAGATGCAGAGAAACAGTGTTCATATGTTGCTGCTGAGAATGTAAAATGATACTGCTGCTCTGGAGGTAATTTGGTGGTTTCTTTTAAAACTAAAAATGGATGTTCCATACAACCCAACATTTGCACTATTAAGCACATATTCCAAAGAAATGAAAATTTATTTTCACACAGAAACTTGTATAAAAATGTTAAGAGCAGCTTTATTTGTAATAGCAAAAAACTGGAAACCACCCAAATGTCCTTCAACAGGTGAATGGTAAACTATGATACCATAAAGTACGATTCAGCAATAAAAAGAAACAGACTGCTGGCATATACAACTTGAAGGAGAAAGCTCAAGGAAATTATGCTGTGTGAAAAAACTAAAAGGATACTTAATACAGCATAATTTCACGTGTACAACATTTGTGAAGCAGTGTAATTACATAAATGAAAAAATGATTAGTGGTTGACAGGAGTTAAGAATAGAGTGGGAGAGGATGGACATGGCTATAAAGAAAGGAGTGGCATAAGAGAGGCTTGTGGTAATGGTTCAGGTAACTATTTTGGTTGCGGTGGTATTTACATTAAGTTACAAGTGATAAACTTGCATAGAACTACACGCACAGAATGTACATATAACTGGTGAAATCTGAGCATGTGGACTGTACCAGTGGTCAAGCTGCTGGTTTTGATACTGTCACACAGGATTTTAACACTGAAGGAGGCTAGGTGAAGAGTACACAAAACCTCCCTGTACAGGTCTTTGCCGCTTACGATGAATTAATAATTATTTCAAAACTAAATGAGAATATTCTAATAAGATGAAACTGCTTTGTAAATTGATAAATATTGTTTTCTCTAAGCAAAAGAAGACTATAAAGCTGAAGAACCTATCCTAAATATAAAAATCTTATTAATTTCCCTTATTAAAACACTTTTCTTCATAAAAACAGTTCAAACTGTAGCATTTGCCACAATGTCAATGTTACTATCAGAAACAAAAGAGGGGAAAAAAAAAATCACTGCAGCAGCAGAATGTATTACTATGCCTAACTGAAAGCACCCAGTAATTCTCAGATTATTAAAGCACTTGAATTTCTAGGATAAAATTTCCATAACGTTTACTATCCAATAAATGGTTCCCTTAAATACTCATTGGTTAGTAAGCACATATTCCTGCTTTCCCAACTGCATTATAAATTCCTCTTAGAAAGTGTTATTCCTTTTTAACCTCTTTTGTGTGTGTGTCACAGTGCCTAAACTGAATTAACACAAGAAAATAAAGCAAGGAAAGTGAGACTAGAAAATAAAACTTCAGCGGAAAAGGTAGAATTTAGCTGTTATGTTTTTTTTTAAAAAATATAAAAGTGGTTTTGCATTAAAACCAAAGGGATTTATAAATTTAAGTTAGAAAGAAAAACAAAATAAGTAACTTAGAGGATCTTGTAAAATACTTTTCTATTTTGACATTTATAGCTATGTAGCTGGAAACAGTCACATGATAAAGATTACAAGTAGATCATGGGGATGCCATAAGTTTTCCAAAGGCTGAAAATGGTTTTAATTTACATCATACATAGATACAATGTCTCACACATTATAGACCCACAATGCCATGTAACTGATAGAAACCAAGGAGGAAAACAAGCAAACAATAAGGACAGCCCCTTCAACTCTATTATTCAAACTAAGTGCTTAAGAACTGCTGAGAAAGCAAACCTTTTTGGGAAGAGGTTCTTCGTTGGTCATCTTGAATCCTAGAAAAAGGAGTAAAGACAGGAACGTCAACTGATTTTCTTCTAGTTAAGGTAGAAACAAAACATACTGGCTTTTGCAAAAGAATTTATTGCTGAACTCAGTTATGACCAAATCATTAGGTTATTTTAATTACAACACACCTTTTAGATGAGTTTTAGATTTACAGAAAAGTTACAAAGGTATTACAAGGTTCCAGTATACTGTGGACCTAGGTTCTCCTTTGTTAATATCTTACATTATTTTTGTCATTAAGTATTTTTTTTTTAAAGAATTCTCTCATAAAAAAGTTGATCATTCTTTGTAATGTTGCCACAAAGGACTGAAACAAATGCAATTTTCCAGTGCATTCTTAAAACTGCCCTGTGAAAGACAAACCCTGCAGCAGAAAGGGCAGATCTGTGCTGAAGTCAGATACTGGCCTCAGGCAGTATCCCAGGCATCTTGTTAAAAGGATACAGAAGGGTAACACCAGTTGCTAAGTCTTGCCTTTTACAGAATTAATATTGTTACAGTAAGGTCAAGTTTATCACTGTCATGATAATTCACCACTATACAATGTAGGAATGAAGCCATTTCCACCTTAATAAAAATATTCCTACATTACCGACATTATTTAACTTGACGTCACAGAATAATTTGTATCTGAAAATTAGCTTTTTATTCCTAGATATCCCTTCTAGTAGCAAAGTCATAAATGTCCCCTTTGCTAAGGGGCCAGACTTGGGGACTCAGGAGGAAGGACACTTTAGGATGCTTGTTCATTTTTGGTAAGTCCGAATGTCCACCGACAGCACTGGTGGCCACGCCTGAGCTTGGACACAGGTCCCGAGACCGCAGTCAACCCTGAGGGGCTCAGCTCTCAGGCCCCTCAGCTGCTCCCCCGTGGAGGGCAGTCCCAAGTGCCTTGGGCCTGTGGCCAGAGTTTTGGCTGCAGGGACAGAGCAAGGCCTTCTGCTGTAGGGACAATGGAACTGTCGTGACTTCATTCAGAGGTGGTCTCTTTCGGTAATAAAACCCGTATTTATGTAGAAAGTGAAAAAAATAAATAAATAAATAAATGTCCCCTTAAAAACTTTCTTTTTAGTTTACTTACTACAAACTCTGTAACTATTAAAAAGTTAACCAAAGAGATGTAAGCACGTTATGGAGACGTGATGTACAGCAGTGACTAGTTAGTAACATGGTATTATATATTTGAAAGCTGCTAAGAGAGTCAATCTGAAAGGCTTCATCACAAGAAAAAAAAATTTTAACTGTGCATGGTGATGGATGGTAACTAGATTTATGAGTGCTTCTCTTGCAATGTATATAAATATCAAGTTATTATGTTGTACACCTGAAAATAATGTATGTCAACAGTATGTCATGTCAGTACCTCAATAAAAAATAACCAAAGGAGACAGAGTATAAAACTGAGTTGTAAAAGCTACTTGACTTATAGTGACTATTTGAGATTCCTCAAAAGGAGATGATCTTTAATACCATTTTTATATTACATACAATCCCAACTCAAACGTCAAATATTTTAATTATACTGTCATTAAACCCTGATTTTCAGATTAAGTACACTGAGTTGAAGACATCAGTACATTTTAGAGGAAAAAAAAACTATATATTGATTATGCCATCAATCAACTGGTTTAATTCTTCCCTCTTTGATGATCTTGTCATTGGATGTAATGAACAAAAACCTGAGTATGTATCATTTGCTTCTGAGCTGATGTAACTGATCAAGCCTCTCTAACAAACCAAGATCTGTGAAGAGATGGCTTTATTTCTACTTTCTAAGACCAGCACTCCTGCTCTTTAAGCCGGCCCCTGCCCCCTTGAGGCCCCTCGTCACCAGCTTATCCGCTGCCAGTTACAGCCGGCTGCCCAGTGACTACCCGAACGTGGTCCTAGTAAAGCTGATCATCTGGGGAATGAAGCCTCGCCGGGTTTAACTCCGGAGGCCCGACTACCTCTATCTTAGCACGGTTTTAATGTGCATTCACTCCACTAGACTGCAACCTCTCAGAATCCACATGTCAAGTTTAACATTTGCTTGGAACTCCCCATTTGTCCACAGCTAAACAGTAGGTAAATATCAATAACACATTTAATTTAAAAACTCAAGAAAAACTGTGCCATTTGAACTTCACTAGTACATAATCAAACCTATGGTTTTTCCAGTAGTCATGTACAGATCTTGAGAGTTGGACCATAAAGAAAGCTGAGCACCGAAGAATTGATGCTTCTAAACTTTGATATTGGAGAAGACTGCTGAGAGTCCCTTGGACTGCAAGGAGATCAAACCAGTACATCCTAAAGGACATCAGTCCTGAATATTCACTGGAAGGACTTACGCTGAAGCTGAAACTCCAATACTTTGGCCACCTGATGCGAAAACTGACTCATTTGAAAAGACCCTGATGCTGGGAAAGATTGAAGGTGGGAGGAGAACAGGATGACAGAGGATGAGATGGTTGGATGGCATCACCAACTCAATGGACATGAGTTTGAGTAAGCTCCAGGAGCTGGTGATGGACAGGGAAGCCTGGTATACTGTAGTCCATAGAGTTGCAAAGAGTCAGACAAGACTGATTGAGTGGACTGAAATGAAGGTTGAGCACTGATGAACTGATGCTTTTGAACTGTGGCGCCGGAGAAGACTCTTGAGAGTCCCTTGGACAGCAAGGAGATCAAACCAGTCAATCCTAAAAGAAATTAACCCTAAATATTCATAGGAAGGACTGATGCTAAAGCTCCAATACTTTGGCCACCTGATGTGAAAAGCTGCCTCACTGGAAATGACCCTGATGCTGGGGAAGATTAAGGGCAAAAGAAGGGAGGGAAAGAGGATGAAATGGTTGGATGGCATCACAGACTCAACGGACGAGTTTGAACAAACTCAGAGAGACAGTGAAGGACAGAGAAGCCTGGCATGCTGCAGTTCATGGAGTCGCAAAGAGTTGGACACGACTGAGGGACTGAACAACAACAACAGTATATAAATGTGTACTTCTATGTCCCTACTCTGTATATATAGTAATATACACATTACTATATATAAAACAGGTAACAGGTAAGAACCTACCATATAGGACAGGGAACTCAACTCAATACTCTGTAATAACCTACATGGGAAAAGCATTTTAAAAAGTGGTGTATGGATATGTGTAACTGATCCTCTTTGCTGTACAGCAGAAACTAACAGCACTGTAAATCAACTATACTCCAATAAAAGACAAAAACCAAAAACTGTGCATACCAATCCCTTGCTATCCCCTCACATCAGGCTTTATTTTTCTTCTCAACTCCTATCACAAGCTGACATTTTGTATACTTATCTGTCTATCCCAGGGATAGAATAAGCTCCATCAAAAAACTGTTTCATTCACTGCTGATGTCTCAATACATAGTACACACTCAAATATATGGTAAATGAAAATATGAACAAATGAATCAGCTTCATTTACTACTTAAGTTGTAAGACTGAACTAAAGAAGACAATCTAATTTTCCCCCCAAATGACCCAAGATGACCATACTGTAAAATTTTGAGAATGTACTGTGAGTTCTTAGACTGACAGCTTGAAAACAGCTAAATTTACTACTACAGACAGGTAGTTTACCTATCTGGTTACTAGGCACCCTAGCTACTCAGAATTTTGGTTATAAAACAAAGTTTCATGGATGGTATTTAATATAAATTACCGCTTAAAAAACTAGTATTAAAAAAAAAAAAGTATATGCTGGTACAATCTGACACTTCCCCCAGGTTTATTTGTTCATTCTTAAAACCATGAGCTTAATTAGCAACAAATAAGCTAATCTGCTTTTTAAAGGATATTTAAAGGGCTGGTAAATACATTAAGAAAGTTCTAGTAACTCCACTTTTCCTGAAGAGAGTGCAGACTTTGAAAACAAAAAAGAGCAGAACCTCTGAGCCTCACTTTCCCCATCTCAAAAAGGATTACCACTGCCAAAGTCAGAATTACTGTGCTATTTTTGAAGACATACATTAGTCTTTAGTATAGTAACTGTCACAAAGTAAGCATTTTGTTAGTTTCCTTCTTCCCACTGGAGAGAAAAAAGCCACCACAAAAAAGTCTCAATCACTCTTTCTTAAAGATTCTGAGGAGAAAACTGACAAGGATAAGATCATATCATGCTCCTGTTTCTAAGCCCCAGTGCAGCCCCTACTTGATGACCTCCAATTTTTAGAATTCTAAACAGTAATTTACACTTCTAACACTAGCTTATGTTCTTTTCAACAAATTTGACACTTGGTAGAATTACACATTGTTTAATGCATATCTAGATTTTCTTTAAAAAAAGGGGATATCTAGATTTTCTTTATAAAAATAAATGCCTAAATTTGTAACGTAAGTCAGGTATAAATACAGGTTTTGTACGTATGTTTGTGTTTTGCATGTTGACTCTCAGATCATTTCACATGTTATGGAATATATGACTTGGGAAATCAAAGCATTAGCATTTAGTAAGAAATTGCTACCTTATCTTCAGCTGATGAAAAGTCAATCTTGGCTTGAGATTCCATGATATACCACAATAGTTAAATTGACAGTGTGACAAAAGGCAAATTAGAAACAGGCTTAAAATTTAAAAGAATCAGCATTCAACTATTTAATCAAAACAGAACATAATTCTCAATTCCAACTTTCACGTTACACATGCTATAAAACTTATTACTCCCCAAGGCAATTTTTTTAGCACAAGTGACAAGCACAATTACCACCTAAAGTTAATTTTAGATTCATAAAGACAATGGATATACCAGTTCTCAGAACAATCTATCAGAAAAACAGAATGACTGGAAATATTATTTGGGGTTGAATCATAATCTTGAAGGGAAAAAAAATGAATATATACCTAAAGCTATGAATCACTAGGTAATCGGCTCAGATTAAAACAGCTATTAATTTAAAAACTTGGGGGTTAGGATTCCAAACTTAATGCTTCTCAAAAGTTGGTACCAATGAGGACACATAATTCTTTCATTCCTCCATCCTCAATAATGATCAGGCTTTGCAAACTGGAGAATGCAGAAAAGCAAAACAGAAAAAAATTAAAAAACTGACCAGTTTAGCTGCCCGTAGCAAGTTGAAAAAGACTGGCTAAAACATGGTTTCAACTTTTATGTAAAGATTTGTTATCCACGTGGATAACACAGATAACATAGCTCAAGTTTAGAATGTCAAAAGTACCTTCTACTCCCGAGAAACATCATGACGGTGAGCTCAGTTCTGGTTGGCTAGGTGCCTAGCATCCCATATCCCAGGGCTTCCCAGGCTCTTAGCATTAAGATCCTAAGTCATGAAATCCTGTGTCGGGAAGATCACTGGAAAAGAGAGGGACTACCCACTCCAGTATTCTTGGGCTTCCCTTGTAGCTCAGCTGGTAAAGAATCCACTTGCAATGCGGGATACCCGAGTTCAATCTGTGAGTTGGGAAGATCCCCTGGAGAAGGAAAAGGCTACCCTACCCATTCCAGTATTCTGGCCTGAAGAATTCCATGGACTGTATAGTCCATGAGGTTGCAAAGAGTCAGACACGACTGAGCGACTTTCACGTCACAATAAAACAGTACCAGATGGCGTGGGCTTCCAAGGTGGCACTAGTGGTGAAGAACCCGCCTGACAATGTAGACACAATGTAGACACAAGAGACACAGGTTCCATCCCTGGGTTGGGAAGATCCCCTGGAGGAGGGCATGGCAACCCACTACAGTACTCTTGCCTGGAGAATCCCATGGACAGAGGAGCCTGGCAGGCTGTAGTTCATAGGGTCGCAAAAAGTCAGACAAGACTGAAGTGACTTAGCACGTACCAGATGACACAATTTCAGTAACAAACCAGTACCTTGCTGAAACTAATCATAACTAAATGCAAGAAACTAATAATTTGACACTGTACTAACCTAGGCACAACAGCTGAAACCGTATTAGCTAGGAACTGGAAGACCAGCTTTCCTTAACTTTGTAATAATCAGTCATGTGATACTGAACAAGTCATTTTCTTTAGATTGCAGTCCGTAAATCAGCAAAGAGGATGCCAATTTCACCTGTCTCACAAAGTGCTACAAATCTCAATGCTTTAAGTACCATAAAGATGTTTTACAAATATATTTCAAATAAAATACTGATATTAGCCTAAGAGAATTTTAACATGCACTTAAGAAAAATTAAATTCCACCAACTACATTTGCAAGAGTTAAGACCGTTTCTTTATAGCACTGAGTTCTAGCCTGATGCACCACCTTTATGTCTAATGGGATATACTCTCAGAGGAATATTGAGAAGTTTTGTTCTAGGAAGCTTAGTACTAGAATATATTTAGAGGAGTATTGAGAAGTTTTGTTCTAGTAAGCTCAGTACTAGAATATATTTAGAGGAGTGTTGAGAGGTTTGGTTCTAGTAAGCTCAGTATTAGAATATATTTAGAGGAGTATTGAGAGGTTTTGTTCTCGTAAGCTCAGTACTACAATATATTTAGAGGAGTGTTGAGAGGTTTGGTTCTAGTAAGCTCAGTATTAGAATATATTTAGAGGAGTATTGAGAGGTTTTGTTCTCGTAAGCTCAGTACTAAAATATATTTAGAGGAGTATTGAGAGGTTTTGTTCTAGTAAGCTTAGTACTAGAGTATATTTAGAGGAGTGTTGAGAGGTTTGGTTCTAGTAAGCTCAGTACTAGAGTATATTTAGAGGAGTGTTGAGAGGCTTGGTTCTAGTAAGCTTAGTACTAGAGTATATTTAAGCCCCAGGTGGCTCATCTACCTGCGACGCTGGAGACAGGGGTTCAACCCCTGGGTCACGGAAGATCCCCTGAAGGAAATGGCAAGCCACTCCAGTATTCTTGCTTGGGAAACTCCACGGACAGAGAAGCCTGGTGGGTTACAGCCCACCGGGTGGCAGAAGAATGAGACAGGGCTTTTGGAGGAAGAGTAGTGGGAGATAATTAATAAAAACAAAAATAAAACCAAATACTGTCTAGGTCTTGTTTTGCTAAAAGATCCAACAGAAAATTTTTAAGAAAAACTTTTTTCAAGAGCAAGATAACGTTCTATTGTATGAAAATGATCAAGACTTCTAAAATAGACAATATTTTCAGGGGAACTGTGTATTACATATATACATACTTAGATGAACGTAAAGGACACAGAGTGCTGTAAGCTACTGGACAAATATAATTATTACAACTCTCCTCTCCATGCCATAAGGCTATGAATTTTCTGTATTATACCAACTCATTTCTGAAAAATACTCAAAATTCAAACAGGAGAAGTTCTATAAATTAGATAAGTAAAAAAAAAAAAAAAGCTGTGCCTGGGATACACTTGATTATCATTACTTTTGTCGGTTGGGACTTAGAAATTTAGGTAGTTTGCCTAAGTTCTGCTACTGGGAAGTGAAAATACTGATCACTTAGCTACAGCTAACTGCTTAAGATAACGTAAGATCTGAAAGAACTGTAGGAATACAGTGAAACAGGCCACTGAAATTTAACCTCATCTTTATCACAAGCCGCACTTTCTTTCCCAACTTGCCTAATCAGATGATACTAAATGATATATGTAAATGTGTAACACTTAGGCATCTTGAAAGAGATTTTCACAATAGTTTTTTTTAAACGGGGTTTTAAATGGCTACACATGTTTATCTGTTATACAAAACTTAATGCTCATAATCTTTAAGTAAAACACTGTTAATCACTCTGCTATACACCTGAAACTAACACAACAGTGTATATCAACTATATTTCAATTAAAAAAAAAAACAGCCGGTAGAATTTGTGGTGACACACCTCTGACTTCCACTTACCCTCCTCAGTAACGGAACTAAATTCTGAAATAGAAAACTAGATGAACTCAGGACCATAACATGCTCATGGAAATATTTTTCTACCTTTCTCTAATCTCGACAAAAGGATCATTTCTTCCCTTATGAACACGGTTATTACGGATTTTAACCTAGTCCTTGAGGATCAAATATCCAACCTGACTTCATCAAAACAAACGTGGACATTTTTCCACTACGTGTTCCCCACTGACTAGAAAAATACGGTTTACGGGGATCCAAGGCGAAATTTTAAAATTTCACGAAAACCTCGAATTCAGTATTTTTTTTTTTTTAGTCAGAAAGCATGCACTCATTTAAAAATGGAAGTCTGCAAGACAACGCAGCTGCAGTAGGAATCTACTGCGCGATGTGAAATGTGCTCCACGGACGCGGCTTTCCTCCCCTCAGCTCGTCGGTGCCGCCAGTCCTCACGATCCTGCCGAGGGAGGTGGGGGGGAGCCCGCGACGCCGAGGCGGGGACGGGACGGGACGCGCGCTCCGAGGGGACGGCCTCCCGGTGTTGCCGGCCCCGCGGGAGCGCCCACCTCGCCCCCGGCTCCCTGAGAACCGAGGTAAAATGGCCTCGAGACGGCGGAAGTGTCGTCGCTGCCAGCGGGCAGACGGTGGGGCTAACGCGAGGCCGGGGGGCCCGGGAACCCCGAGTCCGCCTCCTGCGTTCAGTTGGCCCCTTCCGAGGTCCGGCTGCCGCACCTCAGCCGCCTGGGGACCCGGAGGTCCTCGCCTCCGCTGCGGCCGGCGGAGTCCCGCACCTACCTCTCCAGATGGAGGCCGCGCCGGCGCCCGCCCAGTCACATAGGCCGACCCCGCGCTGTCCTCTCGCCGCCCAGGCCGCCCGACCGCGCCGCCGCCGCCGGCCCCCGCGCTCCTCCTCCGCGCCGCAGCCCCGGCGCTCCCCTTTATTTGCGGGTCTCGCTGCCACAAAATGGCGCTGAGGGAGGAAGCAAGGCCCCGACGCCCCACCCCCTTCCCGCTCCTCCCGCCGCCCCGCCCCGCGCCGCCGCCGGCGCCCGCCCGCTTCCCCGCCCCGCGGTGTTTGCGCCCGGCCCACTCACCGACGGGTAGTGTCTCCCGGACGCGGTCGCGGCTACCCGCTCGCCGGGCCCCGCCGCGGGGAGGAGAGGCTAAGGGAAGGCGCCCGCCGGGGGGGTCTGCAGTCCCTCAGGGAGGAGCTGCGGCCGGCGGCACGCCCCGCGGCCGCTAGAGCCCTTGCAAGCTCGCCTGGGGGTGGGGAGAAGGGGAGGAGAGGGGCGGGGAGAAAAGCCGTCTCAGGGAAGGGCGAGCCGCGAGGTCGCAGGTCAGCCGCGGGGCATCACGGGAAGGGCGGCGGGGGTCGCGATTGGCGGCGCTGGGTGGACGCGCTCGCCGGGCCACCTGCGGCTGCGGCGCGGCCTTCGGCGGAGGAATCTGGGCGAAGGCGGTGCGTGATTGGCTGCCCTTTGGTGCAGCGCCCAGCGGTGATGCTTCCGCGCGCTGGCGGGCCAGGTGCACGTCTCCTGAGGACGGCCTTAGGCGGCGAGTGCGGTCAGTCGAGACATCGCGAAGCGTCGCTGTTATAGGTTTTGATAATTTAGAAACCGATACCCTCTCTTCCGTCGGGAAGTGGACGCTTGATTCGACCGCTCCTTGAAATCTCGAGGCGAAACCCGGGAACTATTGTCTGGCAGATGGAGGTTGTACCTCTGTCAGCTGCTCTAGGGTCAGCTTGCTAACTCAAAAGCCAGGGGAGGGCTAACCTCCTGAGTTCTTTTTGTCTCGTTTGATTTGTTTCAGAAAGTATCTTGCCATGAGTGACGAGCAGTAGTAACAATGTGATTTTCCATGGCTTACTCTACCCTCTGCTGCTGCTAAGTCGCTTCAGTCGTGTCCGATTCTGTGCGACCTCATAGACGGCAGCCCACCAGCCTCCCCCGTCCCTGGGATTCTCCAGGCAAAAACACTGGAGTGGGTTGCCATTTCCTTCTCCAATGCGTGAAAGTGAAGTCGCTCAGTCGTGTCCGATTCTTAGCGACCCCATGGACTGCAGCCCACCAGGCTCCTCCATGCATGGGATTTTCCAAGCAAGAGTACCGGAGTGGGGTGCCATTGCCTTGTCCGACTATACCCTCTAGTCACAGGTTTTTCTGTCCCCTCCTTGGATAAAATACACTCTCCTTCACTGCAAGACACTACAAAGTCCACTTCATTCTAGGCCTAGCAACAGGCTCACTGTCTGGAAAGTTAAGGTATTATCTATATCAGGGCACGGTGGGGGTCCTTTTGATCCAGAGACGCTGCATATAAGTCACCGGCCTCCCCTGCCGTCGTACAGGATAGTTGAATAAGGGATGAGAGCCAATAAATAGCCCCTGAGGAGCCCTATAATACAAGTCTTAATTCAGATACCCTCCCTTACGCGACCCTCTGGACTATCAGAACCATGGTGTTGCCTGGCGGATGTTAGACTCTTGCACTTACTGGAGGGGTCAGATAGTCTCTCCATTGGGCTCCCCTTATCCAGCTTTACCAAAACCGTTTATCCCCAAAGGAGGTGTTCTAGAATGAGGTGATCTATAAGGATAAGAGTACAGTATACGCTTAGCTGCTTTCAAATTGTGGTGCTGGAGAAGTCTCTTAAGAGTCCCTTAGACAGTAAGGAGATCAAACCAGTCAATCCTACAAGGAATCGACCGAATATTCATTGGAAGGACTGACAATTGAAGCTCCACTATTTTGGCCACCACTTTGTAAAAGACCCTGTGGCTGGGAACGATTGAGGGCAGGAGGAGAAGGGGACAACAGAGGATAAGACAGTCGGATGGCATCACTGACTCAATGGACATGAGTTTGAGCAAACTCCAGGAGATGGTGAAGGACAGGGAAGCCTGGCATGCTGCCATCCATGGGGTTGTAAAGTGTAGACAGGACTTAGCAACTGAATGACAACCAAGTATACTCTAGATGGTCAAAGACCAGAATTTGAAGAGAAAAACGGGGAAGGACCTGAGTAGACATTCGACTCAGAAAAACAGCAATGACTGGTAAACAGAAAAGACTGTTCATGCTCACTTGTAATGGAAATGCACACTGAAGCGACAAAGCTATGGAGAAATAGTCCTTGTAAGTTTTCTGGTGGGAATGGGGAAATGATTCAAGCCCTATGGAGTGCCATAATTATGTATGCACTCATTCTTAGCTCTTGCAGTTCAAAGTCTAACCCTAACTTTATTCTGAAAATACACCACATACAGAAAGAACATGTGGACAAGGTTACTTGTGACAGCGTCATCACAAAAGTTTGGAAATAAATGTCCATTAATAGGGAACTGGTTAGACAAGATATATCCATACCATGGAATACAATGCTGCCAGAAAAACAAAATGAGGATGATATCTGTTACCTTGAAATATGTCCCAGGCTATTTGAAAAATTGGAAGTTGTCCCATAAACATTAAAAAGTAAACCCAAAGTTTATAGCACATTAAAATAAGCTTAACTCTAAGTCACATTGGTAATGTAACTATGTTAATGTAACATGTAACTGTGTTACATGAAGAAGAGAATTCCACAGGTGTTTTGGACACAGTACTTTAAGAGAATTATCTTGGTGGGATGGCTTAGGATGAGGAAAAAAAACTACAAAAGAATCTTCAATTTCAATCAGATGTTTATAATTAATGGTAATATTGTTTCTGTGGTTTTGAAGCTATGTATATTGGGTAATATAAATATTTTAATGTTTTCATGTATAAGACTTTGTAAGAGAAAATAAGACACAAATATAAGATCAAAGAAGCTCAGAAAAAACCTGTAAGGGTCTTCCCTGGTGGCTCAATGGTAGTGAATCTACCTACAATGCAGGAGACTCGGGTTCGATTCCTGGGTTGGGAAGATCCCCTGGAGGAGGGAATGGTCAGCCCGCTCCAGTATTCCGGCCTGGAGAATCCCATGAGGGATTCTCTCTTCCCACAGAGGAGCCTTACAGACTACAGTCCATGGGGTCACAAAGAATTGGACACGACTTAGTGACTGAACACAGTAAACACACACAACACATATTTAAATTGGATATATCCATTTGAGCACATGATTTGAAAAATAGATTTACTAGTTTTGTGCCCCAAAAGGGCCTAGGAGCACTGGGCCATGACAGATTGTCCCAGTTTCCCAGAGACTGAGAGGGTTTGCCAAGATGTTGCACTTGGTGTTAAAACCAGAGGTGTCCCAGGTGAGCACAGTGACTGGCCACCTCAGAGTAACGCTGAGGGAACCTCCCCTCATGGTTTCCCAATTCCACTCCACTAAATAGAGCCGGAGCTCCTCGGAGAACTGGCTGACGCCTGTGGTGGAGCAGGGGAAGTGCAAGGTGAATGAGACATTACGTTAATGAATGAATGCAAAGGTGTTGCTTAGGCTAATAAAGATACGTCGACAGGACTTAGGAGAACAGGCAAAACTAATTGATAGGAATAGAAGACAAATCCATGCTTGGCTCAGAGTGGAACAGAGCGGGAATTGGTTGGAGAGGAACATGAGGGAGTTCTGGGAGTGATGAACATATTCTAAATCATGATTACAGTGGTGATAATTCAATATATAGGGCTTCCCCGGTGGCACAGTGGTAAAGAATCTGCCTGTGATACAGGAGACGAAGGAGATGCAAGTTTGATCCCTGGGTTGGGAAGATCCCCCAGAGAAGGAAATGGCAACTCATTCCAGTATTCTTGCCTGGAAAAACTCCAGGCACAGGAAAGCCTAGCAGGCTACAGTCCATAGGGTTGAAAAGAGTCAGATCCTACTGAGTGACTGAGCGTGCACGCACAGCTAAGTATATAGGTTTGTCAATATTCATCCAACAGTACAACTAAAATGGGTGCACGTAATGTAAACTATACCTGATATAAATTTCATCCTCATGTGTATGTAAATTGTACTTCAGCAATGTATGGAAATAAATGAAGACCAGCCAAATGAGAAAGCAAAGTCTTACTGCTTCAGAGTCAGAGTCAAGTCATTGCCTCTTGCATTTTGGCAGAGGCAGGCAGAGGAGTGGGAGGTCTTCATAGTGGAAAGAAATGGCTTCAGGTATGCCCTACTGGGGAGAAGGCAATGGCAACCCACTCCAGTACTCTTGCCTGGAAAATCCCATGGACGGAGGAGCATGGTAGGCTGCAATCCATGGGATCGCTAAGAGTCAGACACGACTGAGCGACTTCATTTTCATTTTTCACTTTCATGCGTTGGAGAAGGAAATGGCAACCCACTCCAGTGTTCTTGCCTGGGGAATCCCAAGGATGCGGCAGGCTGGTGGGCTGCCGTCTACGGGGTCGCACAAAGTCAGACACGACTGAAGCGACTTAGCAGCAGCAGCATGCCCTGCTGGAGGCTGTTGGCACAGAGGCTGGAAGCAGGTATCTGGAAGCAGGGTTACCTGTATGATTGTTTAGGGGTGCTTATTTGGCTTTCTCTGGTTGGTTCTGAGTTGGAAGTGGGGACAAAAATTAGAGAAGCTGTCAGTTTTAATTAGGTCAGGGCCATTTTGAGCTGATTGTCATACATTATTATTTACCCTCCTGGATTGTTACTTGTGATAGCAGCCTGACTTCTTCCAGCTGTGACTTACAGCAGGCTGGCTTCTGGGGCTGGTTATCAGAGATAAGGGGATTGGTTTCCTGGGCAGGCTGCTGCAGGTTGTGGGTCAGAATTTCTTTTTTCATATTTGGTCTGGCCCTGTCCTTTGGTGTATTCAGTCTTCAGAAGTAAATTTTTAAAAAACATAGGAACTAACTTGAAGGATCTCCCACAGGCCAAATTTAAGGCAAATTTTAGCATCAGAAGAAGACTATAGGGACTTCTCTGGTGGTCCAGTGGCTAAGACTCTGCACTCCTGATGCTGGGGGACCCAATTCAGATCCTGGGCCAGGGAACTAGAGCCCACATGCCACAACTGAAGAT